ATCACGACCCACCCCCAGGCTGAGGAAGAGGTAGGTCTGGGGGGTAGCTGACTGATCGAGGATGACACAGCATCAGGCGCAGTCATGGCCCCGAGGAACGAGCACGCCCTCCCGCAGGCACTCCCTGTGCAGTGACGACACCCCACCTATCTGGGAGCTGTCATGTCGCCAGGGGGGCAGCCCACAGGGTTATCCCTCTGCCCTGCTGGTGTGGCCTCCTGGTGGCAGGGAGGAGCCTGGGAGGGGGGAGGGGGGAGGGGGGAGGGGACAGGCCAGGGCCAAGGAATCTGTGAGAGTATCACAGCTTTAAATTCCCAGCAGAAATCAGAAAATCTGATCTTGCACATCTAAGAATAGCCGTTGGTTTCGACTGTGAGAGGTGCCGAAGTGAAAGCTATAATTATTAGTAAGTAACAAGCAGAAATTAACCACCTACTGCAGAGTCATTTTTAGCTGCCATCCCGATGTGGAAATTGAAAGACGGGCACCAGGAGGCGGCTGGGCTCGGGACAGGCCCTGGTCCCACTCTGAGTTGAAGGCACGGCGCTCCAGCGGCAACTCGAGGCTCGCATGCTGGAGGAGGAGTTGGGCGGAGAGGTGTCTGGAGGTGTAACAAACATCATATGCTCTGCACAGCCTCCTGTCTCTGGCCTCCGGCCTCCGGACTCTCGCCCCCGGGGCTCCAGCTGCTGTCTAGCCTGGGTTTTCCCTCGTGCGAAATGCAGGGAAGACCCCCCGACCTTCTCTGTAAGACGGTGAACGTACAAATCACACTGGAAGAGACTTGGAACTTTCAGGAAAAGAGGCCACAGGATGGGTAGTTGCTTTCTAATTATCATATGAGGTCCAGAGATCACAAGGAAAAGATCGACAAATGTATTTTTTTAAAAACTGGCCAAAAAAAAAAAAAACCAACACAAAAACCTGAAACAAAATGGAAACGGAGAGATGTAGTTCTGGCACCTATCACAAACACAAAGCAGTTTTCTGTGACGCGTCATAAATGCTTACACGTCAAAGAGAAAAGCTCAGTGTCTAAGACACATGCGCAGGCGTCACGAACAGACCACTGACATTCCGTTTTCACCTACTGGGTCGGCGGAGACCGGAAGGCTGAGGACCCCTCCTGTCGGCAAGGACAAGAGGAAGTGAGCGATGGCGCGCTGTGGGCTGGAGTGTGAACCGGCGCAGCGCTGTGGCAGGCGACCCGACACAATGTGCCAAGATTACGGAGTCCACACCCTTTGGTCCACCATTCCCGCCCCGGGAGTTTGTCTTAGAGATGCAGAACGACATCTGTGAGGACACTCACTCATGCATTGTCTGTAACGGCAAAATGCTGGAGATGGTCTCAGTGTGAATCGAGGGGGCCCTGGTGAAGCTGCGGTCCATTCGCACGATGGGTCTGCCCTCCGGGGCCGTTGAAAAGGGCGAGTCGGCCTCCCGTGCTGACAAGCAGGCCCCCCACCCCCCGAGAGTGCGCAGCATCTCTGGAAGGCGCGCAGACTGCTGGGAGTGGGTGCCCGCGGGTGGCATGATGGGCTCGGGATAGGAGGGAGCCTTCCCACTCTGTGTCTTCTGTGCCTCTTCAGCGGTGTGCTGCGTGCATTCATTATTTATTCAAAAATCATTGAAATAAGCTGGTTACGTAGGTGCAAACAGACCAGGGGGAAAAACATGCACAACCCATGTGGGTCTGCCACCAGGGATTCCGGCGAAGAGTCTGAGGTTTTGGGGTCCGAGGGGTCCAGGACAGGAGGACGAGGTGCTGAGGGAAGAGGGTGCAGAGGGTGCTCAGGCTGTGGGTCCCACCACACAGGAAGGGAAGGACCCTGCACTAAGCATCCCTGTCCACCTGGGTCTGTGCTCCCCACTGGCCTCTGGCCCGTCCCCTCCCAGAGCGGATGAAGGGTCAGGTGTCTTATTCGTGACGTCTTTGCCACTCAGATAGACATGCATGTGGCCCAGGGCACCTCTCACACAATCGGGCGGAAACCTGAGGTCATCTCAGAGTGACCTGCCTGTGAGCCTCAAACCTGGGGCTCGGCTGCGGCTCCTCCCCTCACCGGTTTCCCCCACACTCACTGGAGCAAACCACCACGAGAGGACAGACCCACAGACGCCACAGGAGCACCCTGGCCTTGGGGGTGAGCCCCTGATCGAACCAGTTTCCTCGAAACCTCACAAACCTTACAGAATCGGGCGGAACTGCTGGGGCTGATAATGGACACAGGTGTTACCTGGTTCCCATCAGTTAGTTGTCAAGAAAACGGGGTCACTTTTAGTTCCCCACTCAGAGCAGTAGAGCTCAGACCGTGTGTGTGAAAACATCACCCCTCAGTGGGGGCTGTTCCGTGAATTCCTTTGGAATTGACCTCTTCAAAGACTACGCGGCCACATGATACGATTCCATGACTCTAGAGTTCTTGACTCTAACGAAGTCACTGCTTTGAGTCCATGCGGCACAAACCCTACAAAGATCCTGACCCACTCCACCCGCCCAGGTCACATGTAGTGCTCACCATATGTATGCACATATGGTTATGTATGCACATCAGCACTAAGCATGCTGTGCCCGGGTGGGGCAGGATAGGCATCATCTTTACGGCAATATCTTGTGGAGTGTGTTTGTTTGAAGCTTCTTCTCTGAATGCAGCGGCGCTGACGAATATTACACATTCCACGCAAATTGGGGACAACTTTAAACTTGTTTTTCTATACCGGTGTCTGACAGCGGCAGTTTTCCTGCAAATTTAGCTGGCGTGCATTCCCAACCATGCCCTTCCACGAGGAGTTAGGGCCGTTTGAGTGCAGTGGCACGTCAGGGCTTCAAGCGGCGTTCTCTGAAATCGAAGCTGCGAAGTTTCTGAAACTGGCAGAAGCGATTGTGAGGGATACGAAATATTCAGCCACAATTTCCCTTTTTCATCCCTACGTTGTTCCATTAAACCTTTAAGCTGTTGTGCAGCTTTACCGCGGAAGCAGCTATTGCACCTATTTGCAGATTGGCTGTTCTTCCGCAGCTTGTTGCAAGCGCGCCTCGCTGTTTCACAACTGCTAAGTCTCAAATAACATTGCCCAAGTCGGCGAAGCTTCAGGCGCGAAGAGCTCTAAATTGTGTGGAAGCTTATTTTATTTCAAGCACCTGGCAACTGCCTTCAGGCCGAGAAAACTTCTTTAACGCTCATAGGCAGGGCGATCGCTTTTGCCCGTGAATCATCACTCATTGGAAGGATGAAGGCTGCACTATTTCGGCTGCTGTTTGCCCATTTCTACAAAATGAAGATTACCGCCACGCAACTGCGCGAAGCTGCCTGACCGCCGAAGACCAGTGATTTTCCAACTACAAAACTATGCTTTTCAAGCGCTCAAGCAACGGCTTCTATTTGCTCAGGCTGGGCACACCATTAATAACTGTGAAATAAGCAGGACCTGTGAAATTTTTAAAAGCGTAAATAGAGGACAATGTTTTTCCTGGCCATTTGAATCTTTGTATTTACATTCGAAGAAACAGTGTCTTGCAGATGGCGGGCTAAACCATAAAGGGCGAAGACCCACACCTTTAAGCCTAAATGAATCTAAGCCATTTGCTCGGCGCGTGATTCTCTGCATTCGGTTCCAAACTTGCCTTGTGCCGGTTTGCTTTTGGACCAGCTTTGCGCCCACAAAAGCAGCTGGCGAAGCTCAGAGCCTGAGACTTTTTGTTTTGCTTCATGAGGTCAGTTAACTTCAGCTTTGTGAGCACGGCTTTTAACTTTGTGGATGCAGAAGGTACCACCAGAGCAGGGAGCAGGGACCTCAGAAACACTGTCCTTCCCCGGCTTTGATTAAGACCCCTGTGTCATCAATATGCCCAGCCCCTCTCCCAGGCTCTCCAAGAATGCACTGCCAGGATGTGCCAGGCACTGTGCTCCTCAGCCCTAGGACACAGGCACCATTAACCCCACTGTACAGATGAGGAAACTGAGGCTGAGGGGAAGCCATCAACTCAAGTCTATACAGCTGCTGAATCACAGGGCTGGGACTTCCCTCTAGGTCTGCAGGACGTCCAGACTTCCTGGTGTGGGACACCACGCTGAGCTGTCTCCCGCAGAGAAAGTCTGGGGTGCAGCTCTCTGGCCCCTGCTGCACCCTAAGCCCCACACTCCGTACAGCAAGCTCCCTGCAATGATGCTCAGAGCCCAGTGTGGAAGGTCTTTCCTGGACGTCTGCTGTGTGCCAGGCTCCGGGTCAGGGTACAGACATAGGGGTGGGGTGGGAGCCACCGAGTGACCCAGGGGTCCTGCAAAGATGTGCAGCTGTTCCCCCTTATGTGCACTTTTACTTTCTGTGGTTTCAGTTTCCCACGATCAGCAGTTGCACAAAAACATTAGATGAGAAATCCCAACAACTAGCAATGTATAAGCTTTAAATCGCACACACCACCCTGGGCGCCATGATGACAGCTCGCACCACCCTGCTCCGTCCCACCGGGGACAGGAATCGCCCTTTGTCCAGCGTGCCCGCCCTCTACGCAGGACACGCCCATTCGTCGTTCAGTAGCCACCCTGGTTATTGGACAGACCGCTGCGGTATCGCTGTGGTATCGAGTGCTCGTGCTCAAGCCGCCCCAATAGTTTACTTAGCAACAGCCCCCAAGTGCAGCAGCGACGCCGGCAGTCCTGATCTGCCGAGGGGAGTTGTAAAGTGCTTCCGTTTCATTGTCAGTGATGGTTGTTAATCTCTCACTGTGCCCAACTTACAAGCGAAACTCTATCACAGGTGTGTACTAAGAGGGAAACACACGGTGCGTGGAGGGCTCGACAAGTCTTAGGCATCTCCTGGGGTCTGGGAACACATCCCCCGTGGCTCGGGGGTGGGGAGAGCTGCAGGCACATTTCGGGGTGACTGCAACAGCTTTGGTCTCTCCAGAGGAGGGGCTGTGGGCTAGAGAGGCACGTGTCCGCAGCAGGCTGTAGGTAGGGTGGGGTGGGGGGCCCGGCCCGGGGGCGGGGCGGTACCTGCGTGGAGCCAGATCTGTGCCAGCGTCATCCAGGGGTGCAGCGGGCCCTGCTTGGGGGCGCTGCTCTGCAGCGACGAGGCCACCTCTGACAGCGCCTGCTCCACGCGGGAGGCCGCCACCGACGTGGCGTGGATGGAGCCTGTGAGAGGTTTTCGAAAAGACGGGCATCAGACGTGAAAGGGCGGGCCCAACCGACCTCCCGCCCGCCCCTCCCACACACAGACAGGAGTTCCAGACGCACACACAGCCCCTGCCCCACAACGTGTCTGACGGTTCTGAGTTTTACTGCCCGCGAAGAGACACAACCACGACAGCCGGAACCTTACTTTCAGTCCTGTGCTTTAGCGGATCCCTGAGTCAACAACCAGAGCTCATGCTAAGCTCCAGAAGCTCAGTCTGTACGCCGTGAGGGCTGGGGGCAGGGAGGGCTACGGCTAGGACACAGCTGCGTGCGACACACCCGGTAAGCATGGCGTGAACGAGGTCTACACAGTGCCTCACAGAGCACCCCTGTGAGGGCCTAAACCTGGCAACGATGGGGGCGGAGGGGGGCCCTGCACCCGACTCCTGGGGTAGCCTCTGGAGTAGATGGGGACCATTCCCAGACACACCTAGCGACTTCCCACGTCATCCCCCGGCCGCCAGGAGGTGGGCAACAGCCCTGGATTTGAACCCATATTCTAGAACATGGCTTGACTGTAGAGAGAGCACCTTTTGCCCCGTGTCTGAAGAGACATCTCTATTGAGGCTACTGTTAGAGCAGTGGAGGGCAGGCTGTAGCGCAAGGATGCCTGGGGCTCGGAGGCCGCGCCTGCCTGGCTCTCGTGTGGACCCTGCTGCCCTGACAGGTGAGGAGGGGAGAGCGAGCACCAAGGATCTGGGACGAGGACTTCCATTCAGACGTCAAGTGAGTCAGAGGACTCCTTCCTCCCGTGCTGACCTTCCAGAGGCCCCGGCGCCCCGGGACCACCTCCTCAATGTAAGCAGGGGCTCAGCCCACCTCTCTCCAGCGTTCCCTCTGCACGGTACGGTTTCAGAGGTCAGAGCGGGAGTCCCAGTTATTTCCAGTGGAAAACTTTTGATGTCTATCTTCACCAGCAACATTCGTGATTTATAACTCATCACTAAATTCAATGGGAAGATGAACATTGCTAGTGGTGGCTGCGAACTCATCGTGTTTCAAACAGTGATAATCCGCAAGACAGCTGCCGACGGCTCAGGGGAGTCGAGTCGGTGGTACGTGGAGTTGTGCACACGGAAATAGTCTCCGTGGGGCTCTGTAGTGCGCGTGCTCGACTCACTTTCAGAGCGTGTGCAGGGAGAGGCTGGCCTCCTGTGCTGTGTTCTGGCTCCTCCGCCAGGAAGGAGACATGGATTTCTCTACACTCACATCCTTGGGTCTGGTGCAGGGTCCCGGGAGGCGGACGGAAACCCGACAGGCAATCTGCCTTCTGTGGGTCGTCATCGGCACACAGACGGTGCCCACGAGGACCGGCCATCGGTTGGCATTTGGACAGGGCCACATATCCAGGGAGACGTCTGGTCCCGACGAAAACCTCCACGAGCACAGGGGGCCCGTGCCAGACTGTCCTTGACGTTGGGTCCTGTCACAGACGTCCGCCCTCGGGAACGTCCCCGGGTTCCAGACGTCAGGGATCCGCTCGGCATGGGCCACATGTCTCAGTGGACATCTGGGAAGGGACGGACGTCCTGCAAGGGGACGAGGTGGAGGGCGGCACCCAGGAAAGGGCCGCTGAGTCCGCCCCCGTGCGTGCTGCCCCACGAGGAGGAGGACGCCAAGGCCCGGGGGAGGGACACGGAGTGGGTGCCGCCCCGAGGCGGGGGGACTGATGCAGTGCGACCGAGCACATCTGAACACTTATAAAAAAAAATCTCAACGGCCACTTTGATTGACACGCTATTTATTTGTTCTCGGGTCTTACTTTGCTTTTAACCTTTTTAGGGAAAAACAGTACTTTAACTTTGATAACAAGGACTTGCTGTGATTTCCCTGCGATTTTTAGCAGCAAGTGTCAGCGGAACAGAGGAGGTGGCAGCTGCTCTGCCCTGACCCCGCAGGGCTGAGGCTTCCTGGCTTCCCTTCTCACGGGCCGTCCTGAACAGGTGGTTCTCAGCCGTGGCTTCACCTGCAAATGACCCGGCGGGGGCGGGGTTCAAAAGTCGTGATGCCACAGACGCGTCCCAGACCAACTGGCTCACTGGGTGGGGCCAGGCGTCTGCTTGTCAGCAGCCCGTGGGGTTCCGAGGCGCAGCTGAGGCGGAGGCCCACCACCCTGGGGGCCCAGGAGGCGGGTGCTGCCACCGTTCGGCCAAGGGAAGCTCGAAGGCAGAGGCTACACGCACCAGCCAGCCCCGGCTTGACCGCTTCCCTGTGGCCCGGCTGTCCGGGGACCGGCTTCCTTGGGCTTCCCGGCCTCACAGTCCCCTAGACTCTGGAGTGTCGCCGAGACCCCCGGAGAGAGTCTGTGGGCATGGGCTCTGTCTGTGGGTATCCACCACCTCAGAAACCAAACCGAGGAGTGTGCAAAGTCGTTCGCCATGGGTTCATTTCAAAATAGCAACGAACGACTGTTCTGGAAAAATTCTGCAAGTTTTCCGCCAGGTCCTGTGGCTCCTTTGCTACAAGAATTGAATGACTTCTGGAGGGGGCTACTTTTGCTTTCTGGATGAACTGTTTTGTTTTTTGGGTTTTTTTTTTGGTCCACAAATGAACTAATCAGAACTTTTGCCAAAGCTCCTTCCTTTGTGGTATCTGTATACAATGAAGTTCATGAACTGTCCTCATGAAAATACGATTGGTTCACTGTGAACAAAGTTTGGGAAATGATGATGACAATGACGATGATGGTGGTGGCATGGCACTTATCAGTTGTAGAGAACATTCTGTGTTTCAGGCGTCGTGATGAGCCCTCTGTATATATTGTCTCGCTCTTTCAACAGTTCCTTGCGGCAAAACTGAGATGGAATGGGGTCACATAACTTCCTCCAAGTCACACAGACGACAGAGCACAGAACCAGGGCTCAAACGCCAGTCTGACCCAGGGCTGGCCTTTACATCCAGCTCTGACGGCCGCTCCCCCAGAAAGGCCGCCGTGAGCCCTCTGTCTCTTCTCCCGTCACTGTCCTGTTCGCAGCCAGGCCCTGTGGGCAGGTCCCACCGTCTTATGTTCCAGTTGACGCGACTGTCTCTTCCGCTGGACTGGGTGTGGCTCCGGAAGACAGGACCTTGCCTTCCATTCGGTGTTCTCAGGGGCTAGCAGCGCCAGGCCCGCGGTAGGCGCTCTCTGTGAGTGAGCGGGTGGATGCGGCTCATTCCAAGCAGATAGGTCACTGGGCGCAATTTCAAAGAGCGGTCCCCTCTTTCGGATGCTCTGCTCTCCTTCCCCAGTAAGGGCTCCGAGGCCAGACCTTCCTTGTCTCAAAGGGCTTCTCAGTGTGGCTGTCATCACGCCCAGCAACCAGGGCTGGAAACGACAGTAGTGCACAGAGGAAACCGTGCACCTCGCTGAGTGACCCCCCTGCCTCACCCAGTCTCACTACCCCATTGAAATATGGAGCGTAACTGAGCTTCACCAGAAATAATTTTTCCTTCCTGGCCAATCCCTCCATCTGCATGGGGCACAAAGGCAGCCATCGGGCCTGGGTGACATTCTAATGCTCTGAGCCAGGGGTGGGTATCAGGGCATTCGGATACTTATTAGTAACGGCAGGGGATTAACAATAATGGTAACACTATTTAATAGTTAACATCTGCTATTCCTGGCAATGACACAATACATCAAATTCTTCCACTGGATTAGAATCTAGAGGGGAGAAAAAAAGGGCTTAACGCCGTTATGAATCTGAATGGATACATCTGATTAAAAATCATCAAAGTATAATGAAAATAACTTGTGTCTTGCTATCTCGTAGGACTGAAACGGTCCACGTCAAAACAGACAGTGAACTTTGATTTACGTGCGTGAACAACGAGAAGGGCTGGTCTAACCTACGTATTTTCAGAGCAGCCCTCGTCTTCCTCACCAGAGCAGAAGTGTCCCACAGCGTCTGCGGGGGCGAAGAGGATTATTCCCCCGAGGGCAGTGCCCAGGTCCAGGCCTGAAGGAGGCATCGGGGTGGGGAGGGAGGGCACAGGACGTGCCCCTAAACGGAAACCCGAGCCTGAGCTTCCTAGTAACTGGGTCTGACGGGGACCAGAAGCGCTGGTCTCTGCGGTGACCCTTGGGCTGGGCGGCTGCTGTGCCCTGGCGAGTCCCTCAGTGTCAGGGCCCAGGGGCTCAGGCGCCACGGGCACCGAGCTCTGGTCAGGCAGAGACGGCGTGCCCCAGTCCTGGCCCAGGTTCCGTGACCTACTTGCCCGAATGGTCCCGGGGCCACGAGAGGCCACGCGGCCGAGGAGATCTGTATTTCTTCAAGCCGACTGCTTTTCCTTCCCTCGCCCAGACAGACACCCTAGAGGAAATGTCATCTCGGACACCTGCCGCAGGGGCAGAGTGCCACTCAAAGAGCTGCTCTGATCGCTACATCCAGGGTGCTCATCTGGGCTCCCCGTGGACCATTGTGTGGGGGGGCGGGGGGGCGGGGGTGGGGGAGCGGGGGGCAAGGCATGGACCCAGGAACTGGGCCAAGAGGACCAGACACCAAGGCCGCTGACCTCCGGGAGCCGCGAGGCGAGCTCTGAAAGCCTCCCGAGGATGTCTGACCCACGCTCCTATCGGATGCCGAAGGCTGCTGAGGAACCCTGTCCCGAGTGGGACGGCGGGAGCCGTCAGTGCCAGTTGCCTTTGCGGCGGGAGCCTGTGCACGAGTCCCGATCTCCGAAGCAGACTGCGTCTGTGGTGCATCTCACACAGACCTGGAACGTGGCAGGCCCACACGGGCCGCATCTGCCGTTCAAGTCCGCTGCTAAAGGGGTCTCGGAGGCAGTCGTTTTGTTCCGCCACAGGCATAATAACACATCGAGTGGCTTGGTCATGTTCGCCGCCCCTGGATCCTCACCAGCGGGGTCACTGAACACACGGCCTGGATTTACAGTCCAGCTGTCCCCTGGACCGTCTGTCGTGGGGGCGCTAGGAAGGGGCTGCTGCCTGCAGGGTGGCCGCCTCCCCGCTCTCCTCCTGGCTTTCGCAGCGTGTGGACGCTAAGCCAGATCTCAGACGAATCCCTGCCCGCCTAGTGACTGGCAAGCCTCACGGCCCGGAAACAAGGGACAACCGTTACATCGCGTGCAGACAAATCCTCCACCGAAGGCGCCTCAGCAGACCCGCCTCCCACGTGTGCTCAGGATTCTGGCTGCTCTTTGCTTCCCGGCCCCAGAACTGACTCAGGAGCCTCATGTGCACGAACATGGGACCGTGACAGAGCACGTGGCCCCGCTCCAAGTCCCCTCCCCCACCTGACGCCCCAGCAGCAACCTGCCCTCCCCGAGTCAGCTCCGCAGAGAAACTGAGCTGCTCCAGTGAGGGGCGTGCTTGCGGATCTCTGTTTGTTTCCCCTCAGTCCTGGAGTGATTCATTGTTATCTGTCGAGAGAATCTATTCAGCTTCCAGTTCTTAGAAGCTGTGTCCCTAACCCATTAAAATAAGAGGGAGACAAGGCAGCAATTCACCTCTTCGAGACCCTGACTACCAAGGAGCAATCTGAATGACTAAGCATTCTGCCAGAGAGCTGTGCTGAAACAGTTTCTTTCTCAGCAGGAAAAGAATCTGTTTCTCCAGACGAGACCGGGCTGTGCAGCACGTGGGTCTGATGCTGCAGACTGCTGGCGCCCGGCGAGCCTTTCACACCTGCGGACCGACTGCACCTGAGCACCGACAGCCCCGGCGTCCTCGGGGCTGAGGGGGCGGGGGCCGAGGAGCTAGTGATGATTATCTCTTACTTTTTGCAGGGGGAGGACGGAGAGAGAGTCCCCGCCCACTTCAACCCTCAAAAATTAGGCGTATTTTCTCTGGAGCCCTTTTTTAGGAAAACATCAAACACGTTGGCCCCTACCCACACCCTGTGGGCGTCAGGACAATCTCCACCTTTGCTGGAGGGAGGGAGGGAGTCCTGTCTGCCCGAGGAGGTGGATTTGGGGCGGTGGCCTCCTCGAACCGCACTGCCACGGACCCCTCTTCCACATTTCTAATTCCGAAGGCTGCCACCTCCCCTTCCTGGTGGTGTGACCACTAATGTGACGGGGACACGGGGCTGGGGCCGCTTTACGGGCAACTGCCTGGTCCCACCCAGTTCCCACCGGCAGTGAGGCCTCCCACCGCGGGTCGCTCTGATTGGGACCCTCGGTCATGCTAGCAGACAAGTTCCTTTTTTTCACTGAGGGTGACAGAGGTTAAGACAGCCAAGTAAGCCGTGACCCCCTGACCCACTGACTCCAGACGACACAATTTCCCAACGCCTTGAACAGAATCGTCAACACACCGTGAACCTGACAACACGTGTCTTCTCCTGAAAGGGAAGGTTCCTCCCAGGGGAAAGCTCCGGGAAGGGTCACACCGAGGCAGGGAGAGGCTGGGGCACGCGGTCACCAGCAGGCATGCGGGGTGGCCTGGCAGGCTGCCGGCGGTGCTGGCAGGGCTAGGCGGTCACACGGAAGCGTGGAGGGACGCCGTTCACGTGCAAGCAAGGAGGATGCCAGCTGCCGGGGAGCCGTGCCCTGGCCCTGGGCGGGAGACAGTACCTGCTGGGGGACCACACTGGGCAGATGCCCCATCTCCTGCGAACCCTCCCCGGGCGTTGCCTGTTCACGAGGCTGGGTCTCTGGACCAAAGTGTCCCCCCCGCCTGGGGGAGGCTGTGTTTGTCTCTGAAGGCAGGCAGCCCCCCTCCCTCCCCGGGCTGGGCGATATCCTAATTCCTGGACACATGAGCCTCAATTCCTGTCTGAGAGCCATTTGCTGTTGACTTGTCCATCTCCCGAAATTCCACTCAATCTTGTTAAAGGAAAGGCACCGCTGAACTAATGGAGGAGATGCTAATTAGACTAGCAAGGAAAGGCTTATACATGAATGGTTAGGGCTGAACTTCTAACACGGCCACGCCTCAGATGCAGCGCCGTCGGCCGCAGGGGAAGTTTTTCATACAGAGGTTTTTAAAAAGCTCCTTCGTTCTATCAGGCGAGAGCCCAGGGTGCAACATGCCGCCTGACTAGTTACTTCCTGATCATGCTATTCGTTTTTGGAGTGTTGGAAAAATGCAAAGTCAATAATAAAATGCTAGCCAGGAAGGAAAGAGAACAGTCGAGTTCTCTTTCTCTACCTTGAGTTTATTTCTCAACCTCGTCTCGGCTGAGAGGCGTGCTTTGTCTCTGGCCTGTTGATTCTCTCCTCCTGGTTACGCGTCTCGGCAGAGAGCAACAGGCTCGCCAGGACCGGGGAGGCGAAAAACTGAGCACTCAGCCAGGCAGTCTCGATTTTAGCAGGTGTTTGGGGAGGAGCATCAAACGTCAGCACACATTTTTCTCAAACTTGCGACCATGGGGGCACAGGAGTTGGGGGCTCGAGGGTCTGGAGGTCTAAGCAGCGACGGGCAGGGGCAGCGTGGACAGAGCCCTGGGCAGCCGCCCTCTGGAAGCCACCCCTGCCCGGGCTGCAGCTCGGGGAGAGGGGCACCTGGCTGAGGCTGGAATCAGGCCTGGCTGCTGGCACACCACGGAGTTCTGGGTGCGTGGGTGGTGGTGGGGGGGGCAGGGCTAGCCAACCTCCCTCTTTACAAAAGAGGGAGCTAAGGCCCCGGAGCGGGCCGGAGCGGGGGGGTTGAATGCGGTGCTTGGGTTCCTGGGCAGAGCTGGCTCTCAGACCCGGGGTTCCTGACCTTGGGGAGACAGAGCTGGGGCTGCTCCTACGGGAAGTAGAAAGGACAAGTCCCTGGTATGAACCTATCAGCCCTCAGAAACAAGCAGGAGCCCGCTTTAACTAATGAGGGCTGCATGAGGACTTCAGCGTAGCCTCGCTTTCTAAGAACCACACCGTTTCAGTGGACCCAGCGGCCTGGTAGGGAAAGGACCCTGGGAGTGAAACCTTCCCCACCCTGCCCCGCCCCACCCTGAAGAACCCTCAAGTGAGGACAACACCAAACATGTGTTTTCCATCATGGACTTCAGGTCGAGCTGGATTTCAGGGGAAAAAATCACCTCCCTGAGGGCGTATTTGCCACAAGCAGGATTCGCTTTCCCAAGATCATCGGAAACAAGGAGGAAGTCAGCTGGGGAGCCTGGGCCACAGCGGAGGGCACCTTCAAGATTTTTAAACTGGGGGACTTCTCCGAGCCTTTCCCACGCTCACGCCAACGGTGAGTCTCCAAGGACATCTGACCGGGGAGACTCAGTGGTCTGAGAAACAGCCTTTGGGAGACGCTGTGATTCACTAAGGCCTTGAGAGAACACCACCCAAAACGCCAGTCCTATATACCCAGGGAATCGCTTAGTCTCCTTTACATGTTGGTAGATGTAGTTTAAGTTTTATGATGTCTATTTAGCTTACTTTGGGGAAATTAATGATTAGAATTGCTTTTCTAAAAATGGTCAAACTGGAAAGGAATTTCGAGGTTCAACTGGTTCCCTGTACCCCAGTTTTGCAGATGGCCTGCCCTGGGGGCACCGGGTGTCTCACACTTCCCAGTGACACCAGGGCGGGGTTGGGGTGCGGCTCGGGGGTGCGGAGCTGCCGACCCACCCACCCACACCCTCACTTGGGCATTTCTCCTGCAATGCCTTCCTCTGCAGTCCTCCCCAGACAAGTACTGCCTCCTTGGCAGGGAGATCCCAGCAGCAGCGGGGGAAGCATTCGGATGGCAAGCAGGGGGGTGGGGGGGCCCGGGTGGCTGAGTGGGCAAGCGGGCGGCAGCCGAATGTCCACACCATCTCAGCAACCAGCAACCGCAACACACATGCCGTGATGGAGGGAAGCGTGACTCTGAGACCCTCCGAAAGGTTAATAGATCGGTAAACTACTTACTAACTGAAAAAAGGGAGGGGAAACCATGAAAGTATACTTCTGGAGAGGTGCCTTGGAACAACAAATCAAACCGAAAATTAAAACCAAGAAACAAAAACATTTGGAAGATCAAAATTATGGCTAAAGAAGCAAACAGAGTTCTAATAACCTTCCAACTGTAAGTCTGGCTGTCTGGGATCAGATTTCAGTTCAAGGATGACACATATTTTCCCACTGACAATTTTTTTTTTCCTTAAACCAAAGGAAGGCCAACGGGGCATTCCCCTCTACAGTCAAGTGCTCACCCAGCGCACGAAAGCTGGCCGGGCCGTGTAATCTGTTTTGTTTCCAGGGCAGGAAATTCCAAAGGGAAGGGAAAAATAATCAAACGAGCAGCTTTCAGACCTTTCCACACATTAACCCTGATTACGATTCCAAGGGTTTGTAGGGTTTGGCTAGTCCTCCTCCCTGTGGAGTCGACGGATTGGAGGGAGAGATTCATAAAGTCCAGGTCGGGGCTGTCTGTCCTGATGAACCGACTCGGGATTCAAATTCGTAACGATTTTAATCGGGGAATTCTACACGTGTCACTAACGTGTGGCGTGTTTCCTCTTTCTCTGACCAAACACTGTATCCGAGGGGGTAGGGAAGACCTGGGTGTTCCAGTCTTTGGGGAGACACCGGGTTCCTGGCCAGCTGCTCCCCAGGGATGGGAGGTGACTCACAGCCTCACAAAGAATGAGCACCCGAGCCTGTCTGGGACGCCCACGGCGAGCAGAAAGCCCAGCGGGTGCTCACGGCCCTAACATCTCACTCATCAATCAGCACGAAGGGGCCTCGCCGGACAAGACACGGCCTCCATCGGACGGGTTCAGAGGAACGCAGGGGCCTGGGGTGCAGTGTGAGGAACGTGTAGGTGCAGGCAGGGTGGGGAGGTTGGTGGGTTTGTTGCGTGAACGACTGGAGGGGTGGGGGAGGCAGTGGGAGCGTTACTAATGTATTCTAGAGCAGGAAGATCCCATTTTATGGCCAAAAAACTGGGCAAAAGTCAATGTAAAAAAACAATTTTTATGGAAAAACTGAACTTGGCATTTGCCCCAAAGCATTGTTTTAAGGGGAAAAAAATCTATTTTAAGAAACAGATTAAACACAACATAAGTAGCCCTGGCCGGGTGGCTCGGTTGGCCGGAGCATCGTCCCCGTGCACCAAAAGGCTGCAGGTTTGATTCCTGGTCAGGGCACATACCTAGGTTGAGAGTTCGATCCCTGGTATGAGAGGCAACCGATTGATATTTCTCCCTCACACTGATCTCTCTCTCTCTCTCTCTCTCTCTCTCTCTCCTTTCCTCTCCCTCCAAAATCAATAAACGTATCCTTGGGTAAGGATTAAAAAAAAAAAAACATAGACTCCTTAAGCATTAGCTTTGTCTTCCATTTCATAAAACTGAGACTGCCGCCGAAGCCAGTTCTGACACCTAGTGTGCAGACAAGCAAGGTCGGACAGTGCCTTGGTCTGGAGGACTGATCTCAGGTGCCAGTCTCGTTTCTGTCCCGACTGCGCGTGTGTGTACCACGCAGGTTAGCCATCGAAAGTTGAGCACCCTGGAGGAGGAGTTCTTTCTGGCAGTAGTTCCCCTAAGGAGCTTTTCGTTCATCCTACAACTGAGCATTTGGAGCAAAGATAAGCCCTCACAAATCATGGATACAGAGATTAAACTTTCTGGCACTGCCGGTAAAACGAGCATTAAATAAATGAGTCACAGACAACAAGGGTGGACGCTGCTGGTGAGATCCACATGAGGTCCCGTTTAAGGACTTTATCAGCCAGTATTTCATCTTAGTAAAGGCATTTTTTTTTTCATTGCCAGGTTCCCGGACACTCTAAAACAGACTTTCAAATGTCTGCATTACTGAGACGCAAAATTAGATTAAAACGCTTTTCGATATTTCTTCAGTTTCATGACAGAAACCCTACATTTTCCTTCTTTGCATACAAATAATAATACATAGACTTGGTTTTCAAGATGCAGTGTATAACCCGCTGGCCCAGGGACCACAGGGTGTTTTGTAAATGCAGACCCCTGGGCCCCGCCTCAGGCCTGCCGCATCCTAAACTCTGGGGTGGGGCCCAGGGGTCTGCCCTGCAGTTTCCAAAGCTCTTAGTGTGATTTTCACGCACAGTAAAGTTCCAGGACCGCATGGTTAAGGGGGGTTAAGGGGCATAGATGACCATTATCTTTAGAGAATGGGCTGGACTATGGCATACTTGTCGAATTAACTTCTAAACTGAAAATCAGAAATATTTAGGATACATTATTTGCTAATTGTTCTATTTTGCCTTGTTTTTTAATCTTATTTTATTAAATATTTTATTTATTTATTTTTAGAGAAAGGGGAAGGGAGGGAGAAAGACAGGGAGAGGGAGAAGGAGAGAAACATCAGTGTGTGGTTGCCTCTTGTGTGTGTGCTACCGGGGACCTGACCTGCAACCCAGGCATGTGCCCTGACTGGGAACCAAACCAGCAGCACTTTGGTTCGCAGGCCAGCACTCAATCCACTGAGCCACACCAACCAGGGCTAAGTTGCCTCTTTAAAAAAATAATAGAACTTTAATGCATTCATATCAACTCCAAGAAAGCACGGAAGTACCTGGGAGCTGGAAACAACATTCTAGAAAAGCTTTATATGTTCTGCTTGAAACAGGTTTCCTTTGCTTTTCAAAGAGGAGCCTGAAACTTGGGCACCAGTATCTCTTCCTGCCCCGAACAGCTTTTGGATTTTCCAATTGGCAGGATTTTTTTTTTCCCTCGGATAAATCTGATGGGGTTTCCTATCCAGCTTATCAGTTAGGAAGATTATCAGAGAATGGAACGCCAGCAGGCAAACGAAGCAGATCGAACGAAAAACGGAAAAGCCATAAACCGTGTTTACACAGAGAGGGCTCCTGGCGGGGGCCGGGGTCACTGAATGAGCGCGCGGCGGGGGGCCACACAAAGGTGTCGGGTTTGGGATGAGGATGGAGATGAGAAGATACAAACAGGTGGAGAGGAGATTCGGTTCTTGAAAGAGAACAGGAGGAGGAGGAGGAATCTGACACTAAAAAAGTGAAAGAGAAAAAAAAAGGGTAAAGGCAAAAAAAAAAAAAACTTTAGAAACACAAAAGAAAAATAAGCTAGCTTTTAATATACTCACATAAGCTGCAAAGAAAATGAGGTCATGTAATACACAATCATTCCTCTACTTGACAAGAGGATACAAGTGTTTTTTTAAAGAAAACAACTTTGCTGTTTCCCCACAAGTTACTTAATTCTTCTGCAATGACAGCATGGAGTGAAAATAACGCAGCTTTACCTGGGCACAGACCCAGCAGTGCTACCCACTGGAAAGAACACATCTTTAACCTACAACACCCGGGACGTTCTGGGGGAAGCGATCTGCTTTTTAGCTGAAAAGTGTCAGAACTTGACTGTTCCTCGATGTGTTTGTTCTGAGAAGCACTTACATACAGTTCGTTTGTATTTTCCTGGCTGCAGACACACTGTGTGCAATGACAGGTCCCAGTGTCACGGGGCATGGAGGGCTGGGCTGTCTAAGCCGGCCCACGGCTGGCGGTGCCGGCTCGGCACCTGGGAAGGGAGTTAGGGCCGCACCTTCCTGTCTTACGGCTGGAGAGAGCCACCGCGGTGGGGAGACGGCTGCAGCGACACTCGGAGTTTTCCTAGACGCAATGGACCAGGCTTTTAAGGTAACAGGATTATTTTGCGTTGGGCAGGTGTCTGGCCACATCTACCAATGCTTAAAGATAAATCCCCTGACTCTGCATCCTGTTTTAGAGGCCAAAGGACAAAAAAAAAAAATTTTTTTTTCAACCTCTATTTAAGGAGCTACCAACTTATTCCAGAAAAAAGGCAGTGATTCATAGCTTCAGAGTTGTGACTGTCACCCATTGGATTCCTCCTTTTCAATGGCCGGGACCATTCAGTGATAGGTTTGGGGGGAGGGGAGCTGGGGTGATATTAGAAGGGAAATCATGGTCTTTGAGGGGGGGCTTTTTCAGCTGGCCACACCCACTCAATAAAACCACCGTCCAGGCGACTGGCCGCGGCGGACCGGGCCTGTCCGTGCTCCCAGATTCGGCTCCCCTGACCTGGCTCCCCTGACCTGTACATGGACGGCTTCGGAGGCAGAAACCGTGGGCTAACTCAGGAACCACTTCCAAAGTCAAGGACACTGAGCCTGCACCTTACAGTGACCCAGAGGTAGAATAATGGCATTGCGGTTATATTTTGTAAAGGTTCTAACCTGTAGGACATTTATACTGAAATTTTAACAGATGAAATTTTAACAGCTGGAGTTTGCTTTAAAATGCTCTACAAAAACTAGGTGGGGACAGGAGAGGCGGATGAGAAAAGAACACTAATTGCTGAAGGCTGGTGGTGAGGTACAAGGGGATTCGTTATGTCATGTCTATAGTGTGGTATCGTGGAATATTTCCCACAATAGAAAATAAAGAAATAGGAAATACATTTTAGTTCTGAAACATAAAAATAAGTGACGAAGAGGGCCCGTGGCTTCACAAAGGACCCAGTGTGCACACTGGGTGTTTGGGGGTCGGCAGGGTCCCTTGCCCTCGAGGAGGTTGACACTGTCGGGCTGTGCTTGTGGCGGAGGCCCGTGCCCTCCCAATGAGGGAGTTCAGAAAGGCAGCGAGGCAGGGGGTGTGGCGGGGATCAAGGCTATCGACAGGCTGTCCCCTGCCAGGGCTGGGCTCTCTCCAACCACAGCTGATCTCCGGGTCACATCTGTTGGGATTCGGGACTGTTTTTTATCTCGGACACGTTCCTGCTCTCTTTGTCCCCAAAGCCCAGTTGCCCCCCTGAAGGGGCGGTGCTGCACCGGGCATTCAGAATGAGCCGGCCTCCTCGGCGCCCCGTGCACTGGCAGCCGTGAGGGGGGGACGACTGCGGCCGTGTGGATGGGTCGGTGTGGACTAAGAGTCTGCGAGTCGTGGACGAGTGGGGACCACCTCTGCGGATGGAGGTGGGGGCGGTCCAGGGTGCGCCGTGAGGCAGAAAAGGCCAGGGGCCCTAGCGGCATGCCCACTGGGCCATGTTTAACGTCGGGGGCACAGGAAATAACGTCTGCCCTTGGTTACATGAAGAAACACCCCGAGGGCCAACAAAGAAAATAACAGAGATGGTTATCTTTAGGGGGAGAGAAGGTGCGGGACTGGGATGGGCGCGAACCTTCTCCGTCGACCTTCCAAACTGGAGCTGAGACCTGGGGGTTGTGCACGAGACAGGCCGCCCGCACAGGCGCCCGAGTGAGAGCGTGGGGGCGGGCCCTCCTGCACCGCCACCGCACTTTACAGTGGGCGTTACTCATCGAGAGGGAGGCACCTTTGCCCTTGCTAGGTGGGCCTTCTTAATCTTCAAGTCTTTTTGACTTGAAGGATCACTTCAGTGTGTTTTGCTGTCGTCGGTGGCCAGTCCACAGTCGGCAAGGCCTAATGCGGCCTCCTGTTGCTTGGACTCCTGCCCCCTGGGTGAGTGACCGCTGGTGTCAGCACCGCCTCGCCTCTGTGGGGCTCTGGGGGCAGGGCTGGGGAAGGGGGGGCCTGGAGGGACCCCTGTGGGTGGTGCAGGTGCAGCAGCAGCAACACCGTGGGCACTGGCCAGTGCCTGGGAAGCTGTGGTTTTCTCTGCTTGTCCCAGAGCGCCCGCACCGGCAGCCCAGACCCCTGGGTGCCCAGAGTGAGAGAGAGTGGGGCGTGAACACCACGAGGGACGAGGGGGCCACGACCCCGACTGTGCCACACAGACACCCCTCACCTGGACGCTGAGGCACCTGAGCTTTATCCTGAAGAAGGGGACCCCTGTGGGCTTTGGGGAAATGTCCCCGGGGTGGAGGGAAGAATGGAGAACAAGGGCCTGCCTTACTTCTGCCGCCATCTGTAGTCAGTGGGGTGTGGCATAAAAGGCTTGAGGAAATCAAAGTCCAAGCCAGCAGAGGTAAAGGGTCGGGATTTCAGAGGGCTGTCCTCACAGGACCTGGGCGGCCACGGCAGCCGAACCAGCCCGAATTGGTGCGGGTGCCACAGTAAGCCTCACGCCTCTCCCTCCTCTCCCGTGTCTGAGCCTCACCTTGCAGTCACGTGTCACGACAGCCTGACCTTCCCATTCTAGCAGCAAAGCGGGGTGAGGGTGTTTCTAGCAGGACGGGACCCGCGAGCAGAGCATCGCTGTGCTATTCCAAGGCCGTCTCTGCCTGGTTTGCCATCTCAGCTCACCCGGGACGGCTGGTCGCTCCCGGGTCGAGTCACCGTAAGGAGGGTGTGGGCGTGGTGTTGTCAGTCTGCATTTGGAGCGGAGGCCGCCAGCCACCTTGCACTGCGCTAGCCGGCAACTCGTCCTGCTCCCAAGGCCCAGCGTTCTTTCGACCCAGGGTCTTGGGATGGGGCTCCTCCAGCTGACTCTGAATTTGGTCAAAGGGAGCCCAGCGCAGGGATGCCGCCTGCGGGCCGATGGGAGGCCGGGCTTGGGTGAGGACCGCATCTGGCTGCCCGAGGAGGCCTGCCCCCTCCTGCCCCCACGGAGGGGAGATTTCCCAAGAGATGGCTGTGTATGCGTCAGGCTCTCTCTGCAAGGGTCTGGTCGGGAGTTGGGGCCGGGCACGAGGGCAGCAGAGCCTGGAGACTCCTCTCAAAAAGCCAGCCCGTGGAAGACCAGGCTCACTCAGACGGGACTAAGCCTCACACGGGCCCCTGCAGGGTGGCGGGTGGGGCAGCGGAACCAGGTTCCGAGTGATGCACCGGAACCACCTTTGAGGCTCAACGTGAAGCAGATTTCTGTATGTCTGGCGGTCCTGTCGAGTTTTCCAGATTGTCACCGAAGAGCCGGTATCACTACCAGAACTGCTCGTTTGGAGTACTGGACGTGACAGAGGGGTGTTTGCTCCTCTGTGCTTAGGCAAATGTGCAGGGGCAGACGACTGAGGCATGTAGCCATCTGCTCAGAGGCAGGAAGCGCTCCAGGCCTCCCCGTGGGGACAGCGCCCTCGGAAGCTCAGAGCCCCCGCTGCCTCCCTTCAGGGTCTTTTGCTGGATGTCGCAGGTGCGACGGGTTAGAAACCAGAACCTGGGTTCCAGCTGGGTCTGAAATCAGAGCGAGAGGGAGAGACGGCAAAGCAGAGGAAGCTGGACGGAGATGGGAACGATCTAATTTTAGTTTCGAGTTTTAGGCTCTAAGAGCGAGGGGGAAAAAATAGAAAGATTTCAAAGGGCTGTGTTGGGCATGTAATGTTCCTTCCCCCACTAGGAACGCACTTGAAAGAGACTCCGGAGAGAATGCACCTCCACTGAGAGCCGCACCAATTTGTGGGAGCTCTTTCCCAGCCCCGGTCCCTGGCCGTCTTCGCCCCCCATCACTCAGGGAGGGGGGACAGGCCTCACGCTGGCGTTGGCGCCATTCCAGCCCCTCTGGCTCTTTATTCTCACCTGTCTCCGGGTCACTGAAGTCTGGCAAAGTGATTGTGTTAAGCTGTCGTCTGTCCGCAATGGTTCTATCTAAGAGGCTGCTCCCACGTCCAGAGTCACTGCAAAACAACAGCTCCAAAGGTCAGTCATTTGCAGGGGGGGGCGGGAGGAAGCAGAATCAACCAATACCGACTCCTGAAACGCAGGAACACCTCTGGGTGCATTTTTTTTTTTTTACATTCTTCAGCACCTTTTCATCGATCACAAAGCGCCCTGTTTCCTGGCTCGGCTTTGGCTGGGATTGCTTTCAGCATTCAGTATCACGAACACAGCTTAAACCACGCCCACGGACCCTTGCTAACTTTAGCCTCTTTTTTTTTTTTACATTATAAAATACAAAAATAAAAACGGTAAGTCCAGCTCTCCGTCCACCTTATGGGGGGACTGCCCGGCGTCCAGCTCACACATGCTCTCGGAGCGCCTGCGGACTGAGGGCACTCCAGGCCGGTGCCATGGGGCCCTTGCTGCGCAGGGGCGTCTCGGGGGCACTTCTGGGAAGCTCTGATGCCCCGGCCCTGCTCCAGGACGAAAAAACACCGGAGTTTCTGGGGCAGCCGACACGTCTCAAGGGTCCCCAGAAGGTTCTGATCCACACCCTGGCCCCCACTCTTCCAGGGACGATCACAGCCACAGCCACAGCCACAGCCTCATTCATGGCGCAGAAGATCAGGCCTGTAAGATGGGCCGCGTGCTCCACGCCCCTGTTGAATGGGTGAGGACGGGAGGCGGGGGTTGCACAAAGCTCTGGTCGGTCTCCAGTCTCCGGCAGAGCCAGAGCCGCAGCCCCGTCCAGGGATCCAGAGCTGGAGAAGGGGCGCCTGGGAGGGGACCCAGCAGGAGCTGGGGAGAGCCTCCAGGCCACACCCCTGCCTGCTCCCAGCACCGAATGCCCCCCCCACCCCCAGCCTCAGCCTGCCCCCACACGGTGGGGGAGGGGCACGGGGACCAACAGGAACAAGGAAACTCAGCTAAGGGACCTTGGCTCACACGGACTCTTGTTTTTGTTTTCTTCGATTCTAAGAAGCTCGGAAGCAAAAACAATTCTTGTTTCCTCTATCGTGATACTCCATCAAAGAAGCGCCAAAAAGATGCTTATCTGTCTTTTCAAGTTTGAATCCTTTAATGCTTTTCTTTGAATCCAATTTTTTTTTTTAAATCAATCTGGGGGGAGTCTAAGAGTGACAATTTTTTTGGTTAAGAAGTTCCAATTCTACAATAAAAGGACACAATCCCCTTCCTCATCGCAGCAGCTCTTGCTAGAAGGGGTACAAACAAGATTTCGTAGGAAACGGGATATGGTTTGCGGGCTGCAATTCCCACGTTCAGTGACGGAGTCAGAGAAATCCACGGGCAACGGCAGGGAACTTGCTTCAGTACAGAAGACTCGCCAGCCTACACTTAACGACATCACTGGGTACGTGTTTTTTGGAAACTGTTCTAATAAATATTCCCGCAACTAAGGAACAATAAATGTCTTTGAGCAGAAGACAACATAAAAGTCCACACAAATTTTCATTCATCACATTACTGACTGAATAGTTCTAGCATTGGTCAATTCGTGTATGTGTTCTTAATGTAAACATTACAAAAATATTACCAAAAAAACAATCTGAATATTGCAACTTTAAATGGTACTCACTAGTAAGTGATTGAAATGAGAATTAGGAAGGAAGAAATTTTCTCCCAATCGCATGGCTGCATGATGGAGACGGTCCCAGTGGCAGCGACAAGCAGGGGGAAAGAAGTGGTTCACAAGAAAAAGCAAAAACGAAAGGAGCCGCTGTCGGCTCGGAGAGGCGGCATGCACGGCGGCAGAGGGGGCCTTCCCGTTAGACAGACCCGGGTTTGACTCAGAGCCCCACTAGCTACTTCACAGGGGAAGCCTGGGCAAGTTGTTTAGTCTTGTTTAGCTTCCCTTTTGTTTCCTGCGAAATGGGGAGGATAGGAGTTACCCAGCGAGGCTAACAGCCCAGGGCTGAGGGTCACCCAGACGGCCTCGTGCAGGGCTGCTCAGGGTGGGTGGGGGGGCTGCACCACGCCTGGCTGAATGCGGGGGGGCTCAGCCCTGGGGGGCTGCTGGGCCTTCTGCGGAGGCTCTCTGCTCGGAAGCCACACGGTGCTGAGCGGCCAAGTGAAAACACACAAGCAGAGAGGGCCTCAGAGACGACGAAGACCAAGAAGACAAAACACGAGACAGATTTCTATCCTAAATGTGAGCGAAACTGCAGACCTGGGGAAATAAATCCAGGCTTCTGAGAGGACGACGCCTTCCCAGATATACACTCGAGAGAATGCCACCCACCATTTTGCTTTCAGGCTGCAGGTTTGGAAGGCTCTCTGCGAGCTAGCTGCCTAAGGCTCGGTGCAGTGACCCGCTCCTAGAAACCTGCCTCCAAGCAAAAGGAAGAGGAGGGCCGGGCTGCAGAGGACACGAAGCCGGGTTTGTTCTCAGTCTGGCCCCGGGCCCGCCCGTGTCTTCCTCTGTGCTCTGGACGCCTGTGCCAGCCTCAGCATGGAGCTGGGGTGGGCGGGGGGACCCATGGGAAACTGGCAGGTTGCGCAGAGGGCCCCCCCCCCCAACTGATCAGGCTCCCAAACGAGGGCGCCCTGAGCTGGGACACTGGTGTGGACCTTCTCCAGGTGGAAACTAACCGCCTCCTGCCCAGACTGAGCTTGCTGCTCCGTTTTTTTTTTTTTTCTTTATTTCTTTTTTAAGCAGGGATACTTCTCATGCACTTGTTCATGCGATTCCACCCTTTTCTAAAACCCCATGTGACCTGATCGCAGATCCAAGGCCACTGGGCCCAGAGCTGCCCTTGTCTGGAGGACTGCGACGGGTGCTGTCCCTGGTCACAACACAGTCCCCTGACCCTGAGGCTTTATTCTGCTGCCAGGGTCACATCTTCCTGGACCGTTCTGGGGACGTCTAAATTTGCACAATGGTATGGGCTACAGGAGAAACATGTACTTATATCCCAGAGAGAATAAAGTTAAAAACAAACAAACAGGAATATCCTTAATAAGGTGCTACTGGATTACTTCCCCTCCCCTCAAGGCTTTCAGAGTAGCTGGAGGGAGGAGTAGCTGGAGGGAGGAGTAGCTGGAGGAAGGAGTAGCTGGAGGGAGCAGTTCTGTGATGGGCCTCCCTCTCCCCACCCCCTACCCACACTGCGCCTGCAGCCAAGGTGCCTCCCTACTCTGGCCCTGAGAGCTCCTTCAGGAAATGGAGGCAGCAGGGACACAGCCCAGGCATTTGGTTAAGTATTTTTAAAAAGCTTTCCAATTCTGCTATTTTTTTCTCCTCACATTCAATATTCTTGGTTGCTAAGTGGGAGGAAATGTGGGGAGGTGGGTGAGGTGTGGAGAACTGAGGGAAAGCTGGCAACGTGAAAGCTGACGGGTTTATGTTCCCGTTGCTAAAGGGGGCGGGGGCAAGGGGACGGGCTCCAGCCTGGGAGGCAGCTGCAGGCCAGGGTGCGTCGCCCATGGGCCAGGCTGGTGGCAGACCACCCCTCCCCCCCCCAGGCCTGCCACTTCTGACAGGCAGGAGTGAGGGACTTCGGGGAGCATAAATACGAGCCTTTTCTATTTCTGCCTAAAGACTCAGAAAAGCAGAATCTTTTTAAAATTGAAATGATCTTTATTTTCAGAACATACCCACAAAAGGGAAGATCATCTTTTCATGGAGAGGAAGATGGCGCTGAACCGTGGGCTATGGTTAGGGAGGGGACTCTCGTCTAATTCTCGTGCCCAGCTCTGCAAGGGGTCCCGCGGCATTCCAGGACGCGCTCCCTCCCTGCAACAGGCACTGCCCACGGGCCTGGGTCACCTCTGCTCATGTCAGCTCGCAAGGACCCATCGTCTTCACGGGGCCCTGATCTTGACCTTCTTTTTTTTTTTTTTAACTGCAGAAACTTTTGTCAAACAAAATCTCGCATGGAAGCCCGCCTGCCCTCTGCTGCTTCCCCAAGGCCCATCCGGCCTTCTCTCTCCCCGGGCCAGCAGCGGCAGGCCACGGCCACCAGGTCACGTGCCTGCCTCCTGGTGGGCTGGACTGGGCAAACCACATGCTTACTACACATTTAGAATTTGGGTTTCATACCCTTTCAGGCTCCTGACTTTTAAGAGCACAACGGGGGCTGCCCACACATCTTGCAATGGGCTTGAGACACCTTCTGAACGAATGAACGAGCAGCTGCTGGAATTCACAGCACTCACTGCAGCCCGTTCCGTCGCCCTACCTCCTCTGCAGGGCAGGGCACGCTCAGTCTCCGGACATGCGGCCGGGGAGACTGCCCAAGACTTGGAAATGGCCACAGCAGGCCACCAGGTGTCTTTCAGTGGCCTGCTGGGGGTCGGCGGCCCACTGTGCTCAGAGCGTCCACCTCTGCAGGGTGGGGCCCTCGCACTGCCTCGGCCGGCCCAGGCCTCGCCACGGCTCTGCGGGGCGGAGGGGGCCTGTGGGGAGCGGACAGCAAGGGCAGTGAATCTCATCCGGTCAAGGTACTCTTTCCGCCTTGTAGAACAGATAACCTCAAATACGTTGTATTGTCCTAGAGGATGCTGTTTTTGCATTTATCTGCAAATTTCATTTCAGCACATCTATTTTCCAAATTCTTCTTTGAATAGTCCTTAACCTTGGACTGATTCCCTCTTTAGTTAATGAAATAAATAAAATCTCTGACACAGGCTTAATTTCTGTTTGGGTCATGACTTTTTAAAATTTTTTGAAAATAAAACTTTCATGCCAATAGAAATCTCTGCTCTCCTTGGCAGGCGGTGGCCCCACTGTCCATGCAGGTCTTTTAAATATTCCTGTAAAAATCCGATCTGGAACATAGAGGGTCCGGCAGAGGCAAGGCCTACTTCAGTGTGGTTGGCAGGGTGATAATATAGGTGTAATAGTTTATAGATTTGGTTTGAAAATTTCACCCAAAATGTCACCTGGTGTACCTGAGAGTGATATTGTTATGTTACAGAATTACATGCTTATGATTTTGTAATAAAAGATTTCATAATAAAACTAGGGGCGTTATTTGTGCCACACCCTGTATTGCTGACCAGTCTAATCATACATCGTCAGATAGGCATCTGTTGGGAACCGCCCTGCCTGGTTTCGGAAACTGTAATCCCCAGTGGCTAAGGCTGAGTAAAAAGACCTTGGGACCATAAGCCATTAGGAGACAAACCTTATCTTCCTTGTAGGGGTTTGTCATCCCTTTCTCTTTACCCTGCTTGGCCATGGGCAGATGACTGGTTAGCCAATGATGGGTAAGATTCCTCGAAGGAGGGACAACCTAAGACAGGCATGGTCAACAAGGGGCCCTCAGGGAAGAAAAGGGGGTGATGGACCCTCACCCCTCAGCTTTGACTTAGCCTGAGTCCTCATTCTGTCTGCAAGAAGTCTCCTAATCTCTTGGCTGCCTTACTTCCCCTGCCTAACTTAAGCCTGAAACAATGCCTTAAGTCTGAAATAATGCTGAAGGTGGGTGCCGCCCTGTGCTGGAAAGGAAGGGTTCCCTGGGGTGATCAGGCCTAAGAAAGAATGCATGAAATCCTATGAAACCTACTTTGCTAATACCCTCAATTTAAATGATAGGGGTCCAAGCAGGAAATGAGTTTGTTCCCCAAAGTTTTAGGGCCCTTTAACTACCTGGCCCTGACTCAGAATAAGCCCTCAGAGTTCTCTGTATGTTACCTATTGTTTAATCATTTCTGCCTGACAATGACTGATGAGTTTTACGTATACACCCTGTATTCCTGTGCAAATTGAACCCAATAAAAGCCTGTCCAGGCAAGGGTCAGGGCGCTCTCCTCTTGAGAGGGTGGCCAAGGCTCTCCAAGGCTTTTTCTCCCCTTGAGAGAGAAGCTGCGCCGTCCCTTTTCCCTCACAGGACTCGGTAGTCCATGTGAATTTGTCTCGTCTCATCCATGACCCCGCGGACCCCAGGAGCCGGGATCCGCGTCAGACATCAATGTGAACTGAACCTAGTGGGTTGCTGTGGCAACAAGAGCAAAGAAACCCATGATTCGGTGGCTTCATCAGCAACCGGGAGAATGATCCCTTTAAAGCTGGAGCACAGGAGGCTCCCCCACTATCGTCTACTGTATCTGGGGACCGGGAAGGGCACTAGGGTGACAGAGTAAGCGCCAGTCAGAGACGGCACAGATGGGCAGGGACCCGTGCGCACACCACACGCGCCAGGCCCCGCAGGCCTCTTACCTGGGATTGGTCAGGTTGTAGCAGGACTTCCAGATCTGTAACATGTGCTTGCAGGTGAGGAGCGCCTCGTCCGGACCCCGGCACAGCGACTCCAGCTTCACTTTGGAAAACAGCAGTCTGCAGTGGGGACACACAGGGGAAGACAGCACTCGCACCAGACGGCCTCCACCCGGACGGAACGGAGTGGCCGGAAGCCACCGCACTCACTCCGGAGTCGGGTGTCCGAAGGCTCCCCCCGGCCGCGGGAGGCTGTGGGAGCGGGAGCAAGGGCTCCAGGACTCCCAGCTCAACCTGGGGCTTCACCCAAGTCTCACTGCGAGGGCAGACGCAGGCGCCTGACCGGTGGCGGTCGGGCGAGATGCTTCAGAGTGGCTCAGTTTATTCAGAACATAGGGATGCCATGAAGAGTACGCTTTTAAAGGACAACATCAGTATCTCTGCGGAACTTCAAAAATTCATTAGACGCTAATCTTGATTTACTTACAAAATTACACCAGAGATGGCCTTAGTTGCTGTAAACGTCTACAAGTAACCTCCCTCATCACGTGCGGGCGAACAGATCTCGTAAGCTGGGAAAGGCCGGAACTGAGGGCACAGGGGGAAGGGGCACCTGGCCAGCAGCCTCCCGGCTCAAGTCTCCCCTGGCCCTGCCTCTTAGGGGCCAGGACTTAAGCAACTTTCTCCATAGCCACCACCCCGTCCCTGTGTTTGTTGCCACCGACGGCTTGCCCCTCCACCCAGACCTCCTGAGTGCTAACCTCAGCCCCTTCTCTCTCTCCTGGTTCCCGCCCCCCGCATGACCCCACCCTGAAATCTGCTTATGACCCTCTGCAGACATCGGCTCCCTTGGTCCTGGGCTCTCCACCACTGTCCCATGAAAGCCCCGGCTTGGGCCCACACACCTTCCCCATGGACTTCCTGTCCCTGGACCTGCCCGGTTCTACAAACCTATCTCATAAAGGCCTCCAAAGATAACTTTCCTTCCTAGCTCAAGGAACGACAGGGACCCCTCACTATCTGCAATAATAAGTCAACATCCCGTACGGAGTCCTTTACAGCACTCCGCCCCCACACCCCCCTTCACCCTCCCGTTCTATGCACCGCGCCCGCAGGGCCCTTCACTCCTGCCCACAGGAGTCCTGGCCAGAGGCCGCGCTCCCCTCCTAGCGCTATGAGCATACAGGCCAGGTCCTCGGCCTTGACCTCTCCTGATCCACGTCTCTCCTTACCTCTCCCTAAATTCACCTAGAGCCCCACTCCCTCAAATGAGTCTTCTTCCATCGATGCCACTTCCGCACCCTGACCGTCTCTGCTCAGCAGGTGTCAGACTAGCCAGTGTGTGCCGTTCACAAGGAGGGGGGGAGAGAGAGAGAGAGAGAGAGAGAGGGAGGGGTTCCTGTTTCCCAAAGGCCTCCCATGTGCCTGGCCCTGGGTTTGGCACTTTGCGAACACAGTCCAAGTCCTCTCTGCAACACCCCTGCTCAGGAGCGGGTGTTCACCTCCCTTTCAATGAAAGAGCCCCAACCCCTCTCCCGGGCCTCACTTCCACAGCGCCCGGGCTGTGCTTGGCGGTTAGCGGGCCCTAAGTCAGCATTTGCTCGCCAGCTACTCTCTCTGTAAGTCACAGAAGAGAAAGAAATGTGTTTCTAGTGACTTAAGTTAGACATAAAGGAGAATTCCCCAACCACGCACCGTGTAACGACCTCGCTGGAAGGCACTTTGGAGGAGAAAAGCCTTTTTCTCCTCCGTGGTCTCGAGATGGAACGAGGCTGGAGCTAACCAGCCGCTGCCCAAGCTCAGGGATGAGTCAGCCCCACCCGCACCCTCTGAATGGACCCCAGGAAACCCAAGGGGCCAGCTCGGGGCTCCCAGGGGGTCGGGGTGGCAGGGTTCTCAAGCCTGGGTTTGCAGAAGCCTGCGGACGCAACGACGAGCCAGATGAGGAGAGGGAGGAGGTCTCTGACCTACAAGCGGCTGGGTGCAAAGAGTGAGCCAAGGCGTAGGGACAGGACTCGGCTTCTGCTTAAGAGCTTCTCGTGGAAGTTCCCCGGGGCCTTTCCAGGACCACCCGAGAGGTAGCAGGGCCACGCAGGGTGTCTGGAGGGTTTTAGGGAGCCAGAAGCTGTCATCTGCTGACGTCTTCATGAGCGCACAAGGGGACAGACCTTTCCCACTGGACTCTCCTGCCAAACTGTGGTCAGCGTGTTACCACGGAAGCAGACGCTGCTGAAGGGTCACCTGTCCGCTTCTGGTGGAGACCCACCGGAGGCCAGAGACGCCCCTGAAGGAGGGCTGGCTGCTGAGCGGTTCTGGCCGGGGGAGCCCCACCCAGGACTGTGGTGATGCTCTGAGGGAGGCAGCCCCCGCCCCTCCGGCTCAGCCCAGCTCGGAGGGTGGCTGCCCCAGGGAGGGCTTCGAGCAGGTGGGGAGGGTCTCCCCGCACAGGTGTTGCTGAGGCTCTAAGAGTGGCTACATGCGAGCCCTTCACTGTCCCTGAATACCAGCGCCCACCCCAAGCCTCAGCTTGGGAGAACAGCTCTGCGCCAGCCTTCTTGGCTGGAAAAAGAACTTCTAATTAACATGAAAAACAGCTTTCAAACACTTGACTGAGGGTGTGGAACTGAAGAGGTGTGGGCTGGGTTTAAGGGAACCAGAGAGGAAGAACAATAGCGGGACTCTGAGCACAGACGATGGAAAGAGGCGGAGGAACAGCACGAAAGAGCGAGCGTGGCAGGGAGGAGAGGCCAGCAGGCGCAGGCAGGGGAGGCAAAGCCAAGGAGTGAAGGCAGGAGACGAGGACACCGCCTCAGAGAGACTGCTCCTTGTCACCGTGTCACCTTCCCCCAGGCCTCAGCTGGTGCACGAGGCCGAGACAATGCCTGCAACAGAACAAGGGGCACTGGTGATCCTATTTGCCAAACGCTGCTTGCTCATTTGAAGACTGCGGGAAAACCTCCCGCTGGGCGGGTGTTACCTTGGTACGGAAATGGAGACGGCGCAAATGATGGTTAGGGTTCATCTGCCGCGGCAGATGTCCAGAGGTGGCAGAGACTCCACCCACCGGGGAAACCCCGAGGCAAAAACAGGAGCAAGTTAAGGAAACACTTGGGGCCAACCAGCATCAACGGCATTTCTGTACATGGAGCTGTCGATGGATCAGACAGGGCAGCAGCGCGTGCCCGGCGAGACCGTTTGGTGGCCACGCCCCCGGAGTCCAACCGTGAACTCAGATGTTTCTCTGAGTGAAGAAGTCACCTGCTGGGAAAACGGCCTACTCCGATACCCTGTCCCTGGATCAAAGTTCACTAACCTCATTCAAAATTGTTTTGTGTAGAGAGTCATGGAAAACTTACAGGGAATTAATAAAGAGTAGGAGAACCTTGCAGACGTATCAATGGGACTCTGTCACCGACAGCCCCCACCTCTCGTCTCACGCGATGCCTTCCGTTTCCTGGCTCCTGCCCGGGCTTGTCCTTGGTCTGCCCACTGCCTGTCTTGCACGTCCCCCATTCTAGCCACGGTCACCTTCTTCCATGTGCCACCCTTCTTCACGCCCCTGGGTCTTTGCACATGCCCCTTCTTCCACCTGGAATGCCTTTTCCATCCACTTCTTCTTAAGCATCTACTCATCTTTCAAGATCCAGGTCGAAGAGCACTGCTTTCCTGAAGCCAGTCTTAAGTAACAGGAGCTATCTGTTTCCAAATGGAAATACAATTCCAGAAGGGACGAGAGCTCGCTACTGTGGAATAATCAGCTATAGCCGGGAAACTTCTGCCCTCAGGACAAGTGACATAGTAACAGCAGCAGCTGTCGGGCCCCTGAGATATTTAACCACTGATCCTCACGACGACTGGGCAAGTCAGGTGGAGGGTGCCGCCCGTGCCCCAGTTCACGCTGCGAGTCGCTGGTGGAGCAGAAGCACAAACCCAGACCCACGAGACTCCAAGGCACCAGACAAGAAACCGAGGAGACCGACTTAAAATAGTCTCGGCACACTGCTGACACTCGTGAGGACTCGCAGCCCTTCCTGACCCGCCGCCAAATGCTCGCCACCCTGAGATATGCACAGAGCTGTGTTAGCTGCCGTGTGGGGTAAAACGTGGTACCAAATACAGCTCCTTGTTGGTAAAACCAGCAACCTTTTGGTCCGCAGGCCCGCCTTTAACCCACTGAGCCACCTGCTTTAACCCACTGAGCCACCCCAGCCAGGGTGAGATGATTCTTCAAATAATAGCCGTGTTTGGCTTGGGACAGAGATTAGGAAGAACTTATCACGGTCCGGGTGCAGCTCTGGGCCACGTGGCGTTGTGACGTCACTGGGCACCTTAGGGAACGTATCCAAGTGTCCTCTTCTCAGAGTCAGGTTTAATGTCTAATGACTGGCCCCAGAAGACCTTCCTGATGCCCTGGAAACTGTCCATCACTCTAGTTTAGCTCTATTCCGGGCCCCACCCCGCATCCCGACTCCGGACGCCACCCCTGAGCTCACTGTCGACCCTCGCTTCTCCTTGCCCGTGCGCATGGCGACCACCTGCCTGCCTGCCGGGAAGGCCCCCCGCCAGCGCCCCTCCCACCCCAACTGGGAGCGCCTCATTGTCTGACATCTTCCATGACCCCTGTCCTCAGGCAGAATGGACCTCCATCCTCATCCCGTATGTATAAACTACTTTTATAATCTGTTTACCCACCCCACATCTGTACAGGTGACTACCTGTATGTCAGGGCCCGATCATGAATTTGTTCATCCTTTTGTCAGTCACCTTTAAAGCGCCTTGTAAGCCACTGAAGTCCCGAAGGGGAATCAGACACGGTATCTTCCTCCCAAAAGCTCACGGCCCAGTGTCCTATTCCCAAGCTACGGGACGAATGCAAACACGTCTGAATAAAGCTCTCAGGCAGCACGAAAGGCAGGAGACAGATTCTGCCTGGGGGTCACGGAGACGCCAGGGAAGAAGTGGGACTTTGACGGTGGAGGTGGGGGAGGCGCTGGGGCTCGGGGGTGGGGGCGTCCCAGCTGGCAGGCGGAACGCAGGAGCCCAGGCAGGGCGGCGTGGCGTCCTGCGGGGAGAGAGCTTAGCCACGGTGTCTGGACGCTCGGATTTAAGACTGGGGCCCG